AGTGTTAGTGTTAGTGTTAGTGTTGTAACCAGAAGCAGATGTTTCTAATAGAAGTGTTATTGTTTCCATGAAGGCAGGGGTGGTGCTTTAGTTTTTGTTTGTTTTTATTATGATTATTATTGTTCTGCATTTTGTATATTTTGTACATTGTTATATTATTTTATTTTTTTCTCATCATGCATCATGAGGGACTGGGGCGTCTGCTACCATACTGCAGTGGCAGGTGTTAGTGCCACCTGGTGGTTGATGAGTAAACAACCTTAGGAAGACTCACTTGTCACTATGTTACAGCTTTTGGGGAAGACAGTTGTTCAATGTATGAATTGTGGCTTACTTACCAGCCATTGTACTTCAACCATTTGCCGTAAATATGGATACACACATCCAGCTGGTTATTTACCAACCTAACAATATGGCCTTCTGATGATAGTCTGCTGATTATTTTCAATTCAATGTTTGTTTGGTGTGTTTAAATTCACAAAATCATGAGAAATGTTTTCATAATTAGAAGGACACTACAGCTCCTTTGCAATGCTTTGTTTTGTCAACCAATAGTACAAAATTCTAAATTACTGAAAAAAATTAACTGGAATATTTTAAAGGAAAAGCAGCTACACATTTGAGAAGCTACAATCATGAAATGTTTCTGCATGAAAAATGTCTTTGATGAAAATATTTGCTAGTTTATTTTCTGTCAATTGACTAATTGATTAATCGACTAATCTGTAATTGTGCTGGGTAGTTTGATTTATAAGATCTTTTTCTTTTAAAACCATCACTGATGTCAGTTTAGACCATCATCCTACACATCAGTAAATGTGATATAGGAGAACGAATGACTGTAATTCTTCTCCAATGGGCGCTTTGGCTAATATTTATTATATTACATTATATTAATATGGTAATACGGTAGGCTGTGTTTAATAATATTTTAAAATGTTAAGAAAACCTGTATTTATAATGAGAAATGTAAAAGAGATATTGGTGGTCTCAGCCATTACAGACTAAACTGTCTGTTTATCCATCTGTGTCTACTTTATCTGTCAATGAGGTGAGCACCACAAATAAAATTCCAATGGTGCTTCTCAAAGAAGGATATCTGAAAACTCACATACAACAGAAACTAGTTACCACCTTTAAGTACACAAGGTGGAGCCAGAGACGACAACCTGATGTCTCACGAGTGGTGTCTCTCATTCCATCTATCTACAATGACATAGTGAACATGACATACAGCATACAGCTGTATGTACATGTTGTTGTTATAAGATGCCTTTTAATTTACTTTTGCATTTTAATTATTTTTTGTGAGTTTGCTTTGCTGTCTACAGACTTTGCACATCCAATACATACTGTGCCATTTACACAACATAGTTTACATCTTTTCCATAATGTATATCTAAGTGATCTTTTTGTTTATATTTTCAAACTGGGTTTTAAACATAGAGTATGTTATTTCTCGGGTTTCTCACATCAAAACAATACCAAAAGAGTTTGATGATGTCATGAAGTAGAGTGGAATCATGGGAGTTGCTAGTGAAAGTCTATCCAATGGGACTCAGAAATTGTTCACGGATGAGATCATGAATTTAAAGTTTTTTTCGTGTTACTTCCTCACTCTCTGACATATCTGACGTGTTTACCTGGATATTATAGCAACTAGAGGCAAGCAAGAAAACTCAATGTCATCTAAATGTAAATTCATTTTTATTCTCTGGGTTTGCTGGGATAATGTAAGTAGGTCTAGCATTTATAGACATCTTAATGGGGGAATGTTAAATATTACATCTTTAAGCTTCACAAATGATTGATGGCTTCATTTTAATTGTTTAATTCAGCTGTTAATTCTTTCAGTATTTTATTCAGTGATTCACTGGTTAATTCATAAAGCATGATCCCTCGTTTTCACTCAAACAGACCTCCATTAATCCGGTTTCTAATTTGAGGACAACAATCTTGACTCAAGATTCAGTTACTCACCTACTTACGCTTTTGGAAAGAATTACAACTGCAAGCACTTTCCATAATTAAGTCAAAATGAACCCTAAACGCTCAGAATCATGTGACCATCCTCAAGCAAGACAGTCAAAAACTCCAGAACAAGGACGGAAGGTGACTGAGTTGAGATTGTTTTGCCAACTGCTGTTTCAACAATGTACACCAGACTCTATTTATACTTTGCTCATTTGAATTTGTTTCTTTTCCATACCCCCAGGCTTTGTGCCCACCACATGTCCTCCCTGATGTCCCTGTGTCAAAGTCTCAGACTAGTGTTTGTTGTCTAAAACATTGCTCACTGAGGTGCTGACAAACATGCAAGTGTAGTGTTGCGAGACTCATCAGCATTCACACGTTGCAACTTTAATACTAAAAATAATGGAAGGGAGAGATGCATATCAGGAATGAGACATTATGATTAAAACATGTTTGACAGTTAGTTAGTAGTTGTTTGTTTCAACAACCTGAGAGCATCTGAAGCATGCTAGACTGTCAGATCATGGCACTTCTCCATGAACACATTTATGGTCAGTCAGTGAGTAAACATAGTCTATTTCAGGAACTGCAGTCCATCCTTTAATACACTCCCCAGTTCCCATGTGTCATGTGTTTGTTATACAGTACCTGCAGTTATCAGTTATTTTGGAAACAGTTGGAGCCACCACTTTCAAATGGCTTGGTCTAATTTTAGGGAAGGCTCTTCACTTTCACAGAAATGCTTTTGATTTTGTTTGTTTTTTTTTCTTTTTGGTTGCTGACCTTAATCCCATCAAATGAAAAGTCCCTTTGAATGTAGTGTCGAGATTCTTTATTAAATCATAAAACATGACAACAGTGAAGGAGCAACAAGCGTTTCCCTCCCCCCGCTGTGTTTACAGTCAACAGGAGACATCAGCACATGTGATTTTACTGTGTGTATGATACCAGGTTCCTCCATTTACTGTACATCCATGCACGTGCAGAAACACACCTGTACACATACTCTACATGCACACAATGAACCAAACAATGTTGCTGCTCCTTAATCTTCTTCAGACGCTTTTATTATGTTCTTTATTCACTGTATGAATGTGTGAATGTTGGCATGTGTTGTAAAGCACTGGGAGTGGTTGGTAGACTTTCGAAATTAGTTCTAAAGCCTTATTGTATAATACTGTCAGGTGTAGCATATTTTTACCATCAACAGCAGCCTGTATGGTGGTATGAATTCTGGGTAGCACAGATGACAAGGACAAGGAATGCTGCCCTGCACACATTTGTGGATACACCTCCTGCAAGTAGTTAAGAGCTGCTGACTTCCTTGTTTGCTCTATATACTATCTGTATTACCTGTTGTCATTACAGACTCACCTGTAGCCTCGCCGGGTGGAAAGAAGTGTGACAGTGTGATGATGAAACGGGAGATAGCTTTAGGACAAAAGGTGAAGGTAAAGTAAGATGGGATTTTGACAACAAGAGTGACAAGACAAGAGAAACAACAGACAAGTAAGAAAAGAAGCTACCAACTTCATCAACACTCATCATGTCATTGTCCAAGCCGGAAGAACAGCTAGCCTACGAGCTGAGCTGTCCCATCTGCCTTCAGCTCTACTCTGATCCGGTGGTCCTCCCCTGCGGCCACAACTACTGTCGAGCTTGTATCTGGAAGTCCGACGGTGCCTACAAGAATGACCATACTCTTCCACGTTGCCCAGAGTGCCGCAAGGAGTATCAGGGTGTGGAAACCCTGCAGAAAAACTTCAAACTCAACTGCATCATTGAGGGTTTCCGAGCCACCGCACCGCAGTTTAACAGGCAGTCTGAGACCAAGCAGCCCGAGACCAAGCAGCCCGAGACCAAGCAGCCCAAGAAGGTGGAGGTTTTCTGCGACCACTGCATAGATGAGCAGTTGTTGGCTGTGAAGACTTGCCTCAAGTGTGAGGTGTCGCTGTGTTCCAGGCACTTTCAGAGACACCAAGAGAAGGAGTCGTTCAGGACACACGCTGTTATCGAGCCCCAGAATGAGCTGGGGATGAAGGGCTGTGCCGCCCACCACCGTCCCCTTGAGTACTTTTGCTCCAACGACATGACCTTGCTGTGCGCCACGTGCTTCATAGAAGGCCATCACCAGAACCACGATGTTCTCACCTTCAGTGCAGCCGAAGAGGAGATGAGGCGAGCGCTGGAGAGCCGCAGCAAGGTTGTTTTATTGTTTGAGTTACATTTACCAGGCTTGTATTCCTCCTACAGTGATACTGCATTACAGCATTACATCACAGCAGACAGCTAAAGCTAACAGCTACAATATGTGGATTTGGTGCTGAAGTAAAACACATGGTAATGTTTTATCTTAGGTGTTTTTTATTTAAATTTTTATGTTTTTATAATTTCCAATAATTTTCCTGGAAAGAACTATGCAATTTGTAGTAATACAACATTGTAATTACATTACAATGATAAATGAGCGATTCACAGCAGGTCAGCTGAACATTCAAAATTGTGAAACAGGCAAGACGACAAGAAAATTCCCACAGTACTAAATTACATTGTTCTTTACAGGAAACTTACTCAGATATCACAGACATTTAAAAGAAATCGTTACCAAACAAGCAGGTTAGAGACTTTAGATTGCTGAGCAATAATGATGAGGGATTACTTTATGACCATGGGAAACAAAGAAAACAGGATATTCAAGGTTTGAATACATGGCTGGTGGCTATCTGGCACACTGCCATCATGCATGCAACTAACAAATGATAAGAATGCAGAAACTGTCCAGCTGACGAGAAAGGCGTAATAATTTCTGACTGGGTCAAAATGAGTTCTCAGTTTCATGTGACAGATTCTGATATTTAAATTACATCTGCTGTGTGCCTTTTTAACAGCTTGTTACCAGAAAAGGACAGCCAGTCATTCCAGATTTTCTTCTTAAAGTACTAAAGTAGTACAAATCACAAATGTATTAACTCCGTGTTTGCAGGTGGTTTCCTGCAGGCTGCAGATAACTGAGAGTCTCCTACAGAAGACAGCAGAGGAGCAAGGTGCCTCTGAAGCTATAGGAGACAAACTGGTCAACAAGGCCGTCACTCTCATGGACGGTATGGCTGCACTAGTGGACAGGTAATGTACTGCATATGTGCTGGTATTGATACTGCCTTTACAAGTAAATGTGGTGTCCTGAAGCATACACAGTATACTGGTGTATTAAGAAATGCAACTTCCTTAAAACTGTAATATAATTTCAGGCTAGTGTATTTGAATATTTCTGCATCCTGGGGTCTCTAAACATTGGTTATTGCATATAACTGAGAGACATACCTCATGCCACCCCTGCATACTCGTTTTCCAAAACGTCACTCTCGAGCTGCAAGTCGCGATTACAAGACAAAACGAACGCACCATGAGTCAGTTCCCCACTAGTGCCACCACAGTCAAATAGGTCTTGCGTCTCCTCACCTCCCTGCTTTATACGACTGCTGTTAATGCCCCCTTATAAACGTATGTACTTCTTCATCATCTAGGTGAGGCAAAATAGGACACTGACACAGTATCCTGTGTTAGGTTGGTACTCAATGCTTCTAGGCCACTGTTGATCAGATCTAATTAAACCACACCTACACATACCGATGAAGCAGATTAGAAAGAGTTTCTGACCTTTAAACTCTAGATAGAGAACATCTAATGTTTAGATCTATGTTTTTTTTTTCCTGAACTTTAACTGTGATTGTTGCTTTTTAAAACATGAATACTTGATGTTTTCAGTGGCTTTAAGAGGACAGTACATGTATAATTGGACATTAACACTAAGAAAAACACAATCTCAGAAATGAAGATGTACTATGCAAGTTTTAAAAGACAATGGGTAAACTCTTGTTTACATTTACATGGTGGTTGAACTGAGTTCCGTTGGCCTCCCAGTATTGTAAATCAAAGTCTTTGTGTAAAGGCATTGTCTGTATGAGTTAAAGTATGTGCCTCTAATTACCAGCAGCAGTTTCTCTTTCAAGCTTGAAGAGCAGGATCAGGCACTTACAGACACTTGCATGCCAAGACGTAGTGTACCGATCATTTTATGCGATGTATATCAGCACTGACTGCCAGTAAACTTTCTGTATGCCATGGACAAAACAGTCACGCAAATGCTGATGGATGATAGTTTATCTTATTAATCAGTAAGTTTGTTTTGGTACATGCCAGAGAAAAAAGACCTAAATGCTAACACCAGCATGCTAACGTGGCACTGCCAACATTGCGATGTTATGTAGGTCAAATTTACCATGTTAATAATCTTAGTTTAGTGTATTGGCATGCTATTATTGCTAATTAGCACTAAATACAAAACAGTACCAAACCACCACCAAAGTTCTATTTGATCATGGACAGGCCTATTCAGTCAAGCCATAATGTCAATTCCACGAACAGTCTAGGGCTTATGGGAAACAAATACTGAGTAGATCATTTCCATTACAGCTATTAAAAATTGTAAAATATCACCCAGTTATCCAATCAATGTAGTGTAAACAAATGTGAAACACTTTATATTGAGAGAAAACACCTCTAACTTTGAACCTATATCTTCAGTAAGTAGTAAAAGCAATGCTAGTAATAATAGGACGAGTAAAATTATATTTATAGGTGGGTATGATGATGTTTGCTGAACTCCTAGTTCATCCTCCCTCTAATCATTGTTGTGTTGCATCCAGGTACAGAGAGCGCCTGCATGTGCTATTGGAGGAGGAGAGAGTCCAGCGCAGACAAAGCTGGCAGCTTGGGCTGGGTGCACTCGAAGAGCAACAGCAACAGTTACTGGAGGCCCAGCAGAGTGCTACCCAGGCCCTCAGTGAGACAGACACATGCATGTTCATACACAGGTACAACAAAAATATAAACTGCTGAATGAATACATAAAATAGCCCCAAACCTCTTGCTGGAATCAAGTGAAAGAAATAACACTGCTGATAAATTGAGAGTGTGCATAATTATCTGTTCAGCATTGGGATGTATGAGAACAGGCATAAAGAAATTAGTCAGCACTTGGGTTTACGTGCACAGTATGCGCAGATAAGCCCACACGTATTCAGAAATGTGAAGATGCCTATGCATTCATGCAGTAAAGACATGTGATGTTACGTGACTAAGCAGAGCACATAGTAAAACAATGGATATCAACTGAGAACATTCTTCTGTCCTCCAGGTTCGTGCTGATTGATCGTAAACTGAGAGAAGTCGCCTCTGGGGCCATTCCTTCCCAGATCCCCTCAAAGGCTCCACTCAACACCAAGCGTCTCCAGGCAGGCCTCAAAACCCAGGACTTCCGCTCAGAAATGACCCGCCTCCTGGATTCCATCCACGTCCTCTTCAACCCCTTGAACCTCACCTTCAACCTCTTCACGGCCCACCCCAGCCTGGTAGTCTCCAATGATCTCCGCACAGTCAAGTACAGCCCCACCAAGCAGACGTACGTGGAGCACCCAGAGCGTTTCACAAGCGCAGCCCAGGTTCTGTGCAACCAGGGGTTCTCAGGTGGCGAGCACGTGTGGGTGGTAGAAGTGGGGGCCAACACCATGTGGTCTGTGGGTGTGTGTTACAAGAGCATCCCTCGCCGTGGCGACCACAGTCGTCTAGGACACAACTCTGTGTCTTGGCGCTTGCAGTGGAAAAACAGCAAGCTGACAGTGTGCCAGTCTTCCAGTAATGTGGCACTGGGGGAAGTTACCTATCAGCCGCTGAGGATTGAGATAGCGCTGGACTATGAGGGGGGGACATTAGCGTTCCACAGCACCAGAAGCCGTAGGGAGCACCTCCACACTTTCAAGGCTGTGTTCAGGGAGCCAGTTTACCCAGCGTTCAGTATCCATTCAAACACACCAGAGTCCTGGATCACACTGCAAAGTGGGATGTGAACACAACTCCTCTTGTTGAATATTTCAAATGCATAGAACTTAATTAGGTGCTCCAAACTTTCCTTTTTGCTTTCTTTCAAAAGTATGTATGAAAATACAGTAAAAAGTGCAGAGGACAATTCTGCCAAAGTGGTGCATTCATGCGTAATCGTACTGTAGTGGAGAAATTATGTCTTACTCAGAAATTAGCTTGGAAAAGTGATGTTGATCTATAATGCCATGCTATCATAAAAAAAGTATTTATTATTAGCTATCTAGTATGATTGCATTACGGAACTGGAGCATTTTAATCACAAGACAATTTGTTTACAAAACGTAATTTTATTCATGATTGGTGTGATTTTTGTGGAGTATATAGATCAATGCAGGTGTTCAGGGATTCAGTTTTGTTTTGTTTCCATTTCTCTGTTCAAGCACTTATTGTACTGTTAAGGGGGAAATGGTAATAGGATTCCTTAATTAAGTTTCCTTAATTGCCCACTGCCCACTATGCTCATATTACGTAAAAAATAATTAAAAATAAGGGACCTTCTATATTTAAATGGCAGACCTGGTTTATTGAAAGTTAACTGGATATCTGTTGAATGTTTTGTGTTTGTCCTTTATTTTCTTCATATACAGTAAACATTGATGTGTGTGAACACTGACTATGAGACATGCTTGTGTTATACCACAAATAAACTCTGATGACAAATGTTTGTGTGTCTGTTGACAAAATGTCTGTGCCTCCATAGTAGTATGTTTGTCGGACAGTATGGACACATAGTATGTGACTGACTTTTGACAGTAGTTAAAGCGTGCTTTAGTGTATGACATGCGGGTTGCCAGGTTAGGCTGCAAATAGGTATTATTAAGCCGTTTTTATTTTCCCTAAATGCACGTGTAAAACACATTATTTAGATCATGACACACACACACACATTTTTGTATGAATAATTATGAATAATTTTAGCGACCTACTCCATCTCATCAGTACTTAAATAAGAATCCATGCTCCGGGTTTTACACAGATCTGCGAGAGGGGGATAGCGTAAGAAGCATCTGGCAACCCAGATCCCATCTGTCACTTATTCTGTCATTGGGCAGGACACTAACATTATTATTTTTATGTTAGTGACAATATTCTACGCAAGGCAATAAACAAAGCTGTCAGTTAACGCCAGAAAACATGGGTTCGGGAGAGAGTACGACCAGGAAGGTGTCTTTCGGGGTCGACGATGAGGACAGAGTCAGGATTCTTCGTGGAGTCAAGGTAATGCTAATCTAGCTAGCGTTTGATAAGCCATGCTAACATTACTTTAATGTTACGCCCAGAGCTAACTAGCCGTTAGCATGTCGCTGAGAGGCAGGCACACTGGGTTAGCAGTCTGTTGTGAGATGAAGCAGCGGTTTGTGTACAACCTGTAAAGCGACTGCCGAAGGGCGGAGGATGTAAAGGGATGCAGGGTCAGGTTGATTTTAACCTACGCCAAACCTCAGTCGTATTTAGCAGCAGGTACAAGTGTGCCTTGCTTATCGGCAGATGAACATCTCTGGTGGCAGATGACCAACGCCTTCTAGAGACCTTCAGAGTCTTCTGGTAAATTCGGCCTTAACATTGTCCACATAGCAGGATTACATTAAGTGAAAATCCCACATTTTCCACAATTTACTGCTGTCTAGCGTTTGCTAACGGTGAAGCGAAAGCTAGCAGTTAAGAGCGAACCAATTGTAATGTTGGAACATGTCAGCTGTATGGTGGATGTATTGCTAAATCAAAAAGAGATTACCATTGATGTATTAAAGGCTTCACATGTTATAACGTTAGCTACCGTATGAGGATATTTTCCCAACAATCATGGCTTGAAATGGGCAGATTTCGAATGAGGTTTGGCGTGCAGCTTTCTGCCTTTTGACACTGCTGCCTTCTAGTGCTGTTGTAAATGTCAGAATTTTGCGTAGTGCAAGTCATGAACAACCAATGAACTGGTAATACCAAAAAAGAGAAAAAAAATACTAAACTACTTTGTGTTTTTCACACATTTTAAATGTAGTTAATAGTGATGCTTGCTGACCTAATTGCTTGTATGCACTGGGGCTTTCACAATAATCAAATTAAAACAGAGACTTCTATTAATACCTCTATTTGCATTAGCAGAGACATTTGTTTCACAAAAGCAAGTGTTCCTATTCCTACTAAAATGAACAAAGGACAAGACTTGTTACCACATGAAGACCTGTGCACAGGCAGGGGGAGCAGAAACTATAAGACTGTGTAACAACCTTTTTGACCTTTGCATCGTCACTTCCATCAGATGGCCTCTATATGGATTAGTTAATGTAATATCATTTCAGGGGTTTCCCATACAGACGGTCAAGATTTTACATTTTTGTACCCAAAATCCTCTCAGGTACGTTTCATTATGGGGGTTTGTTTTAACTGATAAACAGCAACTTTACACTAGCGTCTTACTTTTCGTTTTGCTGACCTCCGTGTAAGCTCACCCTACTGTAGCAGACTTACCCTGACCTTCAAAGCCTGTTGAATGTGGTTACAGGTACTACACCCAACAGTGATGCTGGGTGTGGCCACAGGTGCAACACACAATAGTCTTTCAACTAGATTAAGTCAGTAGTGCTTTTCAGCTTGGCGTTATGTTCTCTTTATTATCTTTAATCACAGGCTGTGCTCAAAATGAAATGTGAAAGTCAGATGCATGCACGCACACAGGAAATGTATGAATGTCTGTAATGTGCCTGCAGCCATTACAAATTCCTACTTTCTGAGATGTAGGAGAACTTGCTGGATGTCATTTCCAGACTTCCTGTAGGATTTGAACGCACCTTCAGACCTAGTTATCATCAGACTAGTCAAGTATAATAACAGCAGCTAGAATCTGAAATAAACCTATTCAATTCAAGCAAGTTTCTAGATCTGCTACTTTCATGCATCATAATGTTTGTGTAAATGTTTGTAGAAATGTCTGTAAAAAGTGAGGAACCTACGGAAAATCCTTTTTACCAGCCCTGCCTGCACATTCAGATGTTGTGAGTCATAGAAACCGTGAGTCAGTGCCTACTGTGGTTTTTGGTGTAGCTATGTTTAACCATTTCCCTGGCTACACACACACACACACACACACACATGATGGAGCTGTAGTGACCCATTATTTTCTGGCACACTTTGCCAGTTCATGTGTTTTGCCTCAGCCCAACTTTACTGTGTGTTTCCCACAGCATTAAAAAAAGAAAAAAGGATATTTGAATAAGTATGACACCACATGATGTGCATGATGTGCTTTGTACTCAAGTAAACTCTTGTTTGTAGAAACTTGCAGAAAGGCTTCTCATTGTGAAGGCAAATCCGACGCTCCCAGCTCCCTGTTGATTCTGTCTCTAGCCTACCTATCTTTGTCTTTTTGTGTGTCTGTCCAGCTATCAGAAGATGTTCTCCAGAGGATGAGAGGTGTAGCCAACATTGCTCCAGAACGCACATCATCATCAACCTCAAGCCCTCAGAAAGACACAGGTATCATCATGCACCTCACAGTGTTTCCCGGTTTTGCTGAGAACACCGATAGTTGCTGGCTGACGAGGTTAATGTGCGGTTTACGTGTTGTTAGGAGCACATGCAGGTACTACACATGCACACACCGTGCTTTATTTACACCTGTAGACTCATAATTCCACATTTAGACATGAAAGGGAGATTCTAAGCATAAAGGTCAGTTTACTAGTCATGAGTCAGTGAAGAGTCTTTGGTGGCTTTGTCAAGTTTGAGAAAATAACGCTGATGATTTTAAATTTCTAACAGAAAGCCCACAGACTTTAAGGGTTTAAAGATGAGAGCAATTACTACTGTAAGTAGGGAGTGACTAACAAAGACATGGAGTTGCATTATGGGAAATATATAATGCATAATATTTATATCTTTATTAATATTAATATTCATTTTGACCATTTTATTTTAAATCTCCAGTCTTTATGGAAGTGCACTACTAAATTGCGGGAATACCCACAAATCCTCATCAGTACCAAAAATAATCCATAGTAATAATCTGTAGATATAGAACAAGGATCTTAATGAAGAAAATGTAATAATTACTGCATTTGTTTGAATCTATAATGACCCTGAGTAATAGTTATACATACATACATACATACTCTCTTTGTCCAGGTGCCTCTAACAGCGCAAGCTCAAGCTCTCGACCCCAGCAGAGCCCACAGCACCGGGCCCAACCCAGCAACGAGTCCAACACTAGCAAATCGGCCTCCTACGCTAAGGAAGAACAGAAAAGGTGGGTTAAAGTAAAAATGTAGGTTTGTAGTACAGATTCTTACAGGTTGGCAAACACTCAAACGATGCCTGCTAAACATTCATACACCTTTGATGATCAAAGCAACTGTAAATATTGATGTGCAAAAATAGCCACGTCAGGCTGTATGTGCTGCTTAGAATTCACTTTCTTTATAGTAGCTAACGGGGCCTCTTCTCTGCTCTAGAATCTTTAAAGATCCCCTCCATTTATGTCGTAAGACATATATAAATATCTCTGTTAAGAACAATAATGTGTGTCTGGTATGTTTATTATTAAAAAAAAGTTTAAATTCAACATTAAAATATTAAAAATATTCAATTTCACTGGATGAACGTTATCTTGATAACCTCTGTATCCCTGCTGATGGTCAAACTCAACCCTAACACATTCAGGCCATCTTTATTGCTGTTTTCTCCATCACTCTCATCCATCTCATTATAGGAGAACTAATATTGTCATTTAAGAGCACAACTTATCCATGTATTTGATGGGTCTGGTGAAATTTGGTATATGCTGCCCTCTTGTGGAAAGCATTTTGACTGTATTCAGAGGAGAGCAGAAACTGATGATAGTATGCAAATAATGGAAGCAATATTATGTGTGCGTTTGTGTGTGTTTCAGGTACGAACGCCAGCAGACAATATTGAAGGAGGAATTGGCCAAAGTGGCACAGAGAGAGGAGATGACTAAAGCTATCAGCCGGGAAAGACAACACAAGCGGCAGGAAGCCGAGAAGGCCAAACAACTGGTAAACACACACTCTCTCACACACATACAC